TACTTTTTTGAAAGGTGTTTATAGACATTATCTTAACCAATTTTACGAAAAAGGTTGCTTACAAGGTAATGCCTATAAGCTTAAAGATCCGAGGAGGCATACTCCTAATACCATCCGTATGGTACATGATATTCGTGAGGCATTCCTTGATGATGTTGTTGTTAAAATTGACTTCCATAAGGACAAAGGGCCGGATATCTACCTTAAACATCTTGGGGATATTAAGGGTGAGATAATGAGACTTGGTAACTATTTGGAAAATACTACTAATGGCATGAATATGGGCATTACTTTCACTTTGGAATGCCTTGAATCTTTGCCCGGATTGCACAACTTGGAAGGGGGATACCATGTTTCCTCTCTTTTCATGGAACGTGTATACTTTCTATTTATGGATAGATACAAACCGAGGCCTAAATTTAGGCCTCTCCAAAAGAAGGTTTTGGTGAAACGTGCTAAAGAGGGGGAGAGACCTAAAAACTAGCATTGTTTTTATGTTAGTGTCCTCTTGGAATATTAGAGGCCTTAATAAGGTCTCAAAACATAACACCGTTGTCTCTTTTATGCGTACTAATCATGTTCATGTTTGCTGCCTACTTGAAACCAAACTTTCTACCCCTAATTTTGATAAGTTCTTGTCTAATAGGCTGCCCAATTGGCATGCTATTACAAACTTTGACAAAATTGAGGGTGGTAGGATGGCCCTTTTGTGGGATCCTAATTTTGTGGAGCTTTTTGCTTTGGAGATTGACAAGCAACATATCCACTGTAAGATTAAATGTTTGACTACTCACAACATGTTTCTTGTGACTTTTGTCTATGCCCTCTATACCGTGTTGGATAGAAGGAACCTTTGGGACCATATTGCTTCTTTTGAACCCAATATTAGTGTCCCTTGGCTTGTTTTGGGTGACTTTAACTGTGTTGGCAGCCCTATTGAGAGGATTGGGCCTACTCCACCTTCGGCTTACTATATCCAAGATTTGAATAACTTTAAGATTCAAACTAACCTTGTGGACACTCCTTCCACCGGGGAGTTTCTTACTTGGAATAGGGGCTCTCTTTGGGCTAAGCTTGATCGAGTTCTTATGAATTCACTTTGGGCTGCCAACAATATTACGTGTAACACTCACTTCTTTGAGATGGAAGTAGATTGTGATCATTGTGCTTCTTTAGTTACTATTGGTCATAACATGCGTGTGGGGTCTAGACCTTTCAAATTTTTCAACATGTGGCTTAAGCACGAAGCCTTTACTAATATCTTGACTAATCATTGGTTTCATGAGTTACATGGTACTCCTCAATTTAGGCTTGCCCGCAAGCTTAAAAGACTCAAAGGGCCTTTGAAAGAGCTTAATTTTAATGCTTTTGGGCACATTTCCGAAAGGGCCAAGGCTGCCAAGATTGAATATAAAAGAGTTCATGCTCTTTTACTCCTTTCCCCTCTTGATGAGGACATTAAAAAGGAACTTGCTTTGGCCAAGAATAATGCCCTTTATTTAAAGAAGGCCGAGGAGGATTTCTTTAGACAAAAGGCTAAAGCTAATCACTTATTCCAAAGTGATCGTGGTACCAAATACTTTCACTCTATTGTCAGAAAGAATGTGGTTAAGAATTCCATTACATCTATTAATCTTGCTAATGGCAATCCTACTACTTCTTTGGACCAAGTTGCGGGGGAGTTTGTTAGATTCTATACAGATCTGTTTGGATCTTCTGACCCTAATGTGGAGATTGACCATAACATTATCCTTTCTGGTAAATGTCTTGATAGCTCCAAAGCTATTGATGTCATTGCCCCGATCTCTGACATTGAGATTAAAAACGCCCTCTTTGATATTGGAGATAATAAATCTCCGGGGCCGGATGGTTATACTTCTGCCTTTTTTAAGCATAATTGGGACATTGTGGGCCATGATGTCGTTTTGGCCGTTAAGGGCTTCTTTAATTCGGGCAAGCTGCTGAAACAAACCAACCATACGGTTGTTGCTCTCTTACCCAAGACTTCTCATGACCCTAGCGCGGCTGATTTCAGGCCCATATCTTGCACTAATGTCATCTATAAGGTGATTACTAAAATCATCGCCTCTAGGATGATTCCTTGTTTACCTGAGCTTATTGATCCCGCTCAAGGGGCCTTTATTGATGGGAGGCTTATGCTTGATAATGTTTTCATTGCTCAAGAGCTTGTCAAAGGCTATACTAGGAAGCGTATGTCTCCTAGATCTATGATCAAGGTTGATCTTAGGAAAGCCTATGACACAATTTCTTGGGATTTTCTTAAGAATGTCTTGCTTACCATTGGCTTTCCTACTAGATTTGTTCATTGGATTATGGAATGTGTTTCCACTTCTTCATATTCTATTTCCATTAATGGGATACTACATGGACATATCAAAGGTAAGAGGGGGCTCCGGCAAGGTGACCCTATGTCACCCCTCCTCTTTGTTATTTGCCTTGAATATTTCTCTAGATTGCTTCATATGAGAACTAAAGTCTCTTCTTTTAAGTTCCACCCAAAGTGTGGTAAACTCAATATCTCCCATGTTGCTTATGCTGATGATCTCATGCTCTTTTCTAGAGGGGATTACCCCTCTATTAAAGTCCTCATTGATGCTCTTGAGGAGTTTGGGACTGTCTCCGGTCTCAAGGTTAATTTTGAGAAGTCTAACATCTATCTTGGGGGTCTTGCTGATTATGACCTTGCCCATATCCTTGACTTAATTGATTTCAAAGAGGGGACTTTCCCTGTTAGATATCTGGGCATTCCCTTAGCACCTCTTAAGATTGCGGTGGCACAATATGCTCCTCTTTTGGAGTCTATTACCAACTTCATTACTGCTTGGAACACCAAGTCCCTTTCCTATGCCGGGAGAGTTGAGCTTATTAAATCTGTGATACAAGGAGTTCACTCTTTTTGGCTCCAAGCTCTCCCTATCCCTAAGGCTGTTTTGGACAGAATCACTTCTATGTGCCGTATTTTCCTTTGGGGGTGCAAATTTGCTAGAGTGGCATGGGCTGATGTTTGCCTTCCTAAAGAGGAAGGTGGGCTAGGCATACATGACACCCATGTTTGGAACTCGTCCCTTTTAGCTAAGACCCTTTGGGATATCCATATTAAAAAGGATAACCTTTGGGTTAGATGGATTCATGGTGTTTATCTTAATGGTAGAGGTGTTTGGGAGTTTACACCTCACAAAAGAGACTCTCAACTGATTAAAAAGATTGCCCGGATTCGTGACCAAGTTTTGAGCCACTTTGATAACATTCATGATGCGGTTACTTTTCTTCAAGGTTGCCAAAACAATGGCAAGCTGTCCTCGGCTAAAGTCTATAATCTCCTTAGAATGAAGGGGGGTACTCATATGTGGATGTCTTTCATTTGGAAGAACTATATCCCCCCTAAGTTCTCCTTCACGGTTTGGTTGGCTTTCCGGAACCGGCTTGCCACTTTTGACAATCTTCATAGGTTGGATGTGGTTAATATTTGCCCTTTGTGTAAGGGTGGTCCGGAAACGGTACCACACCTCTTTTTTGCTTGTTCTTTTGCAGGAAAGGTTTGGCATAAAGTGAAGACTTGGCTGGATTTTCCATGGGAGATGGGAACCTTACAAAGTGCCATGAAGTGGATAAAGAGGAAGAGGCAAGGAGCAGGTGTAAAGGCTAAAGCGGCTAGGATTGCTTTCTGCTACTCCATCTATTGGATTTGGAGAACTCGGAATGCTACTTGTTTTGACGGCCTTGTTCCAAGAGAAGATGATGTTTTTGCCAAGATTCAGCATATGGTTTACAAGCTCATTTATAAGCTTTATCCTTATGAACTTGTCCATTTTTGATGTTGCTTGTTTGACCATCACGTTTTGGTGATTGGAACTTGTATGAGGCAGGTTTTGTTGGTTTTTGGGGCTTCACCCCACTGTTTTTGGGGTGCTGGCCGTGGCCTTTTGTTCTGCTTGGGAAAGGTTATCCTTGTTGGATAACCTTACATTTTTGTTCTTTACCTGTAAATTCTTCCACCCCCCTTTTCTTTGGGTGTGTTTAATATACTTACAGTTCACCCAAAAAAAAATTGAAACCAGCGCCAAAACACAAGTTTTAGAACTCGGTAAGATCGTTCCAACGAGATATTAAACGCTTTCAACGGCACAAAATAGAGCAAGATATGATCGCATCAAATTCTACACGAGTTCGGAGTGAAATCAGAAACATTTGTGAATATATGGTTAATCTGTAACTTTTAATTAATGTATTGCAAATTAAGTTGGAACAATAGCTTTAAAGCTCTGATCTATATTTCCAACGAGATATAATACGCTCGAAACGGATAAACACACAGAAAGATATGAGTGTCACAAATACTTAGCCTTATCTCTATGATTTAGCGTTTTCAGCGAAAATAGAGTACGTTTAGCGTAAATACTGTGTATTTTTGAAATTCGGAAATCATCCCTTGATATTTTGAAACCAGCGCCTGAAGACAAAATTTAGAACTCGGTAAGATCTTTCCAACGAGATATTAAAGGCTTTCAACGGCACAAATTAGAGCAAGATATGATCGTATAAAATTCTACACGACTTCAGAGTGAAATCAGAAACATATGTGAATATATGGTTAATCTGTAACTTTTAATTAATGCATTGTAAATGAAGTTTGAACAATAGCTTTAGAGCTCCGATCTATCTTTCCAACGAGATATAATAAGCTCCAAATGGATAAACACACAGCAAGATACGAGTGTCAGAAATACTAAGCCTTATCTCTATTATTTACCGTTTTCAGAGAAAATAGAGCACTTTTAGCGTAAATAAAGTGTATTTTAGTAATTAGGCAGTCATCCCTTGATATTTTGAAACCAGCGCCTGAAGACAAGTTTTATAACTTATTAAGATCTTTCCAACGAGATATTAAACGCTTTCAAAGGCACAAAATAGAGCAAGATATGATCGCATCAAATTCTACACGAGTTCAGAGTGAAATCAGAAACATTTGTGAATATATGGTTAATATGTAACTTTTAATTAATGCATTGTAAATGAAGTTGGAACAATAGCTTTCGAGCCCCGATCTATCTTTCCAACGAGATATAATACGCTCCAAATGGATAAACACACAGCAAGATATGAGTGTCACAAATACTTAGCCTTATCTCTAAGATTTAGCGTTTTCAGTGAAAATAGAGCACTTTTAGCGTAAATACTGTGTATTTTTTAAATTAGGCAATCATCCCTTGATATTTTGAAACCAGCGCCTGAAATGAGAATAAGAGTGGCTTGGACATTTTCCGATTTTGAAGAACGTGGTATCACTGTTCACTGACCTGGATTTTTGCGTTCGATTTGAGGCGTTTTGATGTTGCTCTATTCAAATTCAGTCCAGTATACGTTCCCATCCTTGGAGTCGTTGCTGGAATAAGATTTCTTGGACCTATTGCAGCAAAACTCAGTCCTTTTATTTCGAAGTCGCAATTACTGTTCAGGTCGCGTTCGTGTTCTGCGTGGGGGTTTTAGTCAAGCGTTTTTTTTCAGGTTTTTGTTCGCAGCTTTGGAGTCTGGTTGGGGCGTTACTGGTCCAGACGCTCTACTCTAATCATCTTCGGGTTAAGACTCCATCTTAACTCCTGGAGTGTATGAGGTTACAATAAAGCTGCTGCTATGTCGAAGAAGAAACAACAGGGGACAGGGGCTTCTTCCAAGGGGAGTATGACCCGTTCAAGGTATGCGGTGCTGGAGGATTTTGAGGAGGAGTTCCCAGCCCTATTGGCTAGAATCCCGTTGAGCAAGCCAAAGAAATATGTGGCAGACTTGGTTTCTGGGGCAGATCGTGTTTCGGTTGATTTAAAGGCCACGATTGGGAAAACAAAAGTCCTTGCTCTGGACAGGGCTGCTGCTGCTGGGAATGAGAACCCTGCAGCTAGAGAAATGCCTGCTGCTAAAGAACCTGCTGCTAATAAAGAACCTGCTGCTAGGAACAAAACCAGTGCTCAGGAGGATGCTACTGCTACAGTAGGGCTGAAGGCAGTATCTATGGCTGATCCAGTGCAGGTAAACACACCAACTTCAGAAGCTGAACAGATTACTATAACAGGAGGAAAAATTGCTGATGTGGAAAGAAAACCATGGAACGATCTGTTTAAGGACAACCGAGCCCCAACGCACGGCCTTAAATTGAAATATGTCCCACCCAAAGAAAAAGGACTAGACTTTACTGATAGGATCTTTCCCTCTATGATCGAGATGTGGGGTCACTGTCTTGTTGGATTTTTCACCGGTAGTTTCCCCGGATTGAAAGCGATTTACGAACTCAAAAATGAATGGGGTGTGAAGTGCCTTGTTAGGTCTCATAAAAAGGGTTGGGTTATATTCAAGTTTCAATGTGAACATGATAGGACTAAAGTGTTGAATGGAGGACCGTACTCCATTTTTGGGAAATTATTATTCCTTAAAGTACTATCCGATGATTTCTCTTTTGATGATGAAGAATTTTTAAAGGTGCCGATTTGGGTTAAATTCCCTAATCTGCCCTTAAAGCTATGGAATGAGGAGGCAATGAGTGAAGTGGCGTCTATGGTTGGTGTCCCACTAACTACGGACAAGGTCACTCAAGAAAAGAGCAACCACAACTTTGCTAGAGTGCTTATTGAAGTGGATATTTCCAAGCCACCACAATTATCATTTCCTATACGATTACCTTCTCGCAAGGTATTCAAACAACATGTGGTTTACGAGACATTTCCTAGTTTTTGTTTTCATTGCAAAGAGTATGGACACCATCCTTTTATTTGCAAAATTTTGGCTGAGAAGGAGCTGAGTACATCTGAACTTTCCAAAGTTGATGCACTGGAGAAAACTCCCAAAGATGGGGTGCTTTTGCCTACCGTTTTTGAGAACACTGGGGCAAAAAAGGTGCAGCTAGAACCTCCTCCTGCTACTGTTTTGTCTGCCGTGGAACCAGCTGCTCCAGAAGCGCCTCCTGCTGCATATGCTACGTTTGAAGTTGCTGCACAAAAAATTCAACCTGCTGCTGCTGCATTGTCTGATGCATTTGAAGTTGCTACACCAGAATCTGCTGCCACGCTTGAGTTTGCTGCACCAGAACCTGCTGATACGCATAAGTCTGATGCGTTTGCTTTGTCTGCTGCTGCTGCGTTTGAAACAGGGTCAGCCCCAAACCCGACCGGGTTAGAGAAACAGACTGTTTCGCAGGGGTCTGCAGCCAATGTTTTGGACGTGCAAAGTGTCCAAGGGCTCTCCGAAAACGTGCCAAAGGTGCAACCTGCTGCTGCATTTGAAGAACCTGCTACTGCATTTAAAGAGGTAGCTGCTGCTGTTCCTAATCAGGTGCAACCTGCTGCTGCTGCTGTATTTAAAGCTGCTGGAGCTACTGGAATGGGAGTTACCCCGACACAGGTCGATGAAATAGAAGCTGTTGCTACTGTCGCACCGGACCTGCTGATGCAACCTCCCAAACAACTTGGCAGCTACACTTTAAGAGTCCGTGTGGGTAAGGATGGGAAGAAAAGGCTGTTTAGAAATGATGTTGAGATTAGTAATGATGTACTGAAATGAACATGATAACTTAGATTTAGTTTTTCTTTATCTCGGGGCTTGTCCCGATATCTACTAGTTTGATGGTTTGGGATGTTTATATCTAGGTCAGTTTATCCTAGCCTAGGTAGTTAGTTTTGATTTCTTAGACGCATTGTATTATGCTATTTTTGGGTGTTAATACAATTACCTTTCATCCAAAAAAATTGAAACCAGCGCCTGAAGAAAAGTTTTAGAACTCGGTATAATCTTTCCAACGAGATATTAAAGGATTTCAATGGCACAAATTAGAGCAAGATATGATCGTATAAAATTCTACACGACTTCGGAGTGAAATCAGAAACATTTGTGAATATATGGTTAATCTGTAACTTTTAATTAATGCATTGTAAATGAAGTTGGAACAATAGCTTTAGAGCTCCGATCTATCTTTCCATCGAGATATAATAAGCTCCAAATGGATAAACACACAGCAAGATACGAGTTTCAGAAATACATAGCCTTATCTATATGATTTACCGTTTTCAGAGAAAATAAAGCACTTTTAGCGTAAATACAGTGTATTTTAGAAATTAGGCAGTCATCCCTTGATATTTTGAAACCAGCGCCTGAAGACAAGTTTTAGAACTCATTAAGATCTTTCCAACGAGATATTAAACGATTTCAACGGCACAAAATAGAGCAAGATATGATCGCATCAAATTCTACAAGAGTTCAGATTGAAATCAGAAACATTTGTGAATATATGGTTAATCTGTAACTTTTAATTAATGCATTGTAAATGAAGTTGGAACAATAGCTTTCGAGCCCCGATCTATCTTTCCAACGAGATATAATACGCTCCAAATGGATAAACACACAGCAAGATATGAGTGTCACAAATACTTAGCCTTATCTCTAAGATTTAGCGTTTTCAGCGAAAATAGAGCACTTTTAGCGTAAATACAGTGTATTTTACTAATTAGGCAATTATCCCTTGATATTTTGAAACCAGCGCCTGAAGACAAGTTTTAGAACTCGGTATGATATTTCCAACGAGATATTAAACGCTTTAAACGGCACAAAATAGAGCTAGATATGATCGCATCAAATTCTACACGAGTTCAGAGTGAAATCAGAAACATTTGTGAATATATTGTTATTCTGTAACTTTTAATTAATGCATTGTAAATGAAGTTGGAACAATAGTTTTAGAGCTCCGATCTATCTTTCCAACGAGATATATTACGCTCCAAACGGATAAACACACAACAAGATATGAGTGTCACAAATACTTAGGCTTATCTCTGTGATTTAGAGTTTTCAGCGAAAATAGAGCACTTTTAGCGTAAATAAAGTGTATTTTAGTAATTAGGCAATCATCCGTTGATATTTTGAAACCAGCGCCTGAAGACAAGTGTTAGAACTCGGTAAGATCTTTCCAACGAGATATTAAACGCTTTCAACGGCACAAAATAAAGCAAGATATGATCGCATCAAATTCTACACGAGTTCAGAGTGAAATCAAAAACATTTGTGAATATATGGTTAATCTGTAACTTTTAACTAATACAGTGTATTTTAGTAATAAGGCAGTCATCCCTTGATATTTTGAAACCAGCGCCTGAAGGCAAGTTTTGTAACTCATTAAGATCTTTCCAACGAGATATTAAACGCTTTCAACGGCACAAAATAGAGCAAGATATGATCGCATCAAATTCTACACGAGTTCAGAGTGAAATCAGAAACATTTGTGAATATATGGTTAATCTGTAACTTTTAATTAATTCATTGTAAATGAAATTGGAACAATAGCTTTTGATGGTCCCGGATAGGGTAAAAGTCTAGAGGGGGGTGAATAGACTTTTAAATCTTTTCGACCTTTACAGAGATTTCCCTCTAGAGGAGTTGATCTATAATCTTTTGAGAGATTAATAGATGCACAGCGGAAGTCTTTACCCTTTATATATTGGAAGTTTTAATCACTTTCTGATCAAGGGGAGATTGAACTTAAATAGCCAGCAGTTGGCTAGGCAATTGGCTTAGCAGTTGGCTAGGCAGTAGGGAACTGCTGAGGCAACTGCTAGTCAAATACAGACTATATGACACAAATGATGATGGAATATTGTTTAGGATGATGAAGGCAGTGGGATACTATCCTTTTGTTGAGAGGAAGCTATAGCAGTATTTCAGCAGTGGCCTCAGCAGTTGGGTGGAACTGAGTGAACTGCTGAGTCACCTGCTTGTATAATAAACTGGGATTTGTAGCCTGGTTCAGACTGCCTTCTTACTGGAGATGTTATGAGTCTGTGTTGATACTTGAGATGTTCACAGGAAGTAAGTTTGTATGAGCAGAGGGCTCAGCAGTTGGGTGGTCACCAGGGGACTGCTGAGGTCTCTGCTATACTTGAAGAGTGAATTCCTGGAATCTGATAGAGCGACTCTTCTAGTGATTATGTGACCTTGTATAGTGTGATGAGGGCCTTCTGATTGGATACTGAGCTTGAGAGTTTTAAGGTGTTTTGCCTGAGCAGAGGTCTCAGCAGTTGAGTGAACCCGGGGAACTGCTGAGCCAGCTGGTTCAGTAAGAGATATGATTTCTGGCAAAATGTACCTTTGGACAGTAATGTTGCGAAGCTTTTGTGAACAGGTTATCTCAAGAAAAGGTGAGTGCTTAAGCAGTAGGATAAGCAGTTGGGTCAGTTAAGACAACTGCTTAAAATGCTGCTGGCAAACTACGATTTCTTATACGAGAAGTGTTGGGTGTGTGCTTTGTTGACTAAGGAAATCAACACACGATATATCTTGGTTCAGAGGTGGTGTAATCCTCCTACATCCAATCCCATCCTATTTCAAATGGATTTCACTAATTTATTAAGCCCAATACACTTAGTGCCAATCTAGCCTTGACAACTCTGGCCTAGATTGAAGGTGTTTCACGAGGTGTACAACACCACTCCAAGCTACTCAATCCTTTAGGTTTTTCTCAATTGATCCAGTGGGGATCAAAAGGTACTCCTAACCTATCTAACCACACTCAGGCCGGGACCAACTGTCCTCCTGAAGTGTTTACAACAATTTGTGGTAGTGATTACACGAAAGTTCTAACCTCCAACTAGGAACTAAACTTCTATGATTTTGGCAATGAAGACTTGATGCTTAGAAGTTTAGTGAAGCAAGAGTCTAAGCAGAGAGTCGGTGATAGAATGGCACTTCTTGCTCAGTGAAATATCTCTCTACTTAGGATGCTCAGGCTTGATTAGAAACTTTCGTTTCAGCCTCTATTTATAGGCTTTTTGGCTGATCAATCTTATCCGTTGGTTAGGATAAATTGATCTCTTCCGTTGAATTTCTGGCAAGGACAAATTGTACTTCCGTCTTTTTGTGCTGAAGCATTTACTTCGGGCTGATGCATTTGTCTTTGAATTATTCAGCCGCTGAGGCATCTTCCAAGTGTGCGTCCCATGCCGCGGTCCCAGTACGTTTATGGCATTGATTGCCGGTCAATGTTTGTCTCTCAATCATTCACTTGATATACTTCTTTTAAAAAATGTGACATACGAAAACTTTTTGAGTCAAATAGTATTTGCCAGTAGGATTCAAATATCCTATAAAGGTAAAGAGAATTTACCTTATTGCATTTTTACTTTTCCGGTAAAATTTCTTAGACTCAAAAGTTTGTACATTTAATTTGTCACGTAAATACTAGAATAAAATGAGGTACAATGTACACGTGCTAAGTATAGTGGCATCATCAAAATCTATCCAAAATTGGGTACTAACAGCTTTCGAGCCCCGATCTATCTTTCCAACGAGATATAATACGCTCCAAATGGATAAACACACAGCAAGATATGAGTGTCACAAATACTTAGCCTTATCTCTAAGATTTAGCGTTTTCAGCGAAAATAGAGCACTTTTAGCGTAAATACTGTGTATTTTTGAAATTAGGCAATCATCCCTTGATATTTTGAAACCAGCGCCTGGATTCATGGGGTCTACCGCAATGGTAGAGGTGTTTGGGAGTTCACACCTCATAATAGGGACTCCCAACTGATCAAGAAGATTGCTTTGATCAGAAATCAGATTTTGACTCACTTTGACACCACCTTTGATGCCATTAACTTTCTGAATAGTTGCCAATCTAATGGAAAGCTTTCCTCGGCTAAGGTTTACAATCTCCTTAGAGTTAAGGGGGGTACACATATGTGGATGTCTTTCATTTGGAAGAGCTACATCCCTCCTAAATTCTCATTCACAGCTTGGTTAGCTTTCCGGGATCGGCTTGCTACCTTTGATAACCTTCATAGATTAGATGTTGTTAACCTTTGCCCCTTTTGTAAGGGTGGTCCGGAAACGGTGCCACACCTATTTTTTGCTTGTTCTTTTTCAGGTAAAGTGTGGCATAAAGTGAGGACTTGGCTGGGCATTCCGAGGGAGATGGGGACCTTGCATAGCTCGCTGAAGTGGATCAAAAGGAAGAGACAAGGCTCGGGGATCAAGGCTAAGGCGGCTAGGATTGCTTTTTGCTACTCCATCTACTGGATTTGGATGACAAGAAATGTCACCTGTTTTGATGGCCTGACTCCAAATGAAGATGATGTTTTTGCTAGAATTCAGTATATTGTCTATAAAGTTTTGTATAGCATCTACCCTTGTGAGCTAGTTGATTTTTGAGCTCTTGTTGTTGGCCTTTCACCCTGTTTTGGTGACTGGTTGTGAGCTGTTTTGCCGTGCGTTTTTGTGCTTGGGTGTTGCTGCTTTGGTTGGGTTGTCCTCGTTGGACAGCCTTCAGTTTTGTTTCCTTTTGTTTGTAAATTCTTTAACCCCCCCTCTTCTCTTGGGTGTTTACTTTAATATACTTACGTTTCACCCAAAAAAAATTGAAACCAGCGCCTGAAGACAAGTTTTAGAACTCGGTAAGATCTTTCCAACGAGATATTAAACGCTTTCAACGGCACAAAATAGAGCTAGATATGATCGCATCAAATTCTACACGAGTTCGGAGTGAAATCAGAAACATTTGTGAATATATCGTTAATCTATAACTTTTAATTAATGCATTGTAAATGAAGTTGGAACAATAGTTTTAGATCTCCGATCTATCTTTCCAACGAGATATATTACGCTCAAACGGATAAACACACAACAAGATATGACTGTCACAAATACTTAGCCTTATCTCTATGATTTAGCGTTTTCAGCGAAAATA